ATTTTTATTTATTTATTTGACAGAGAGTGCGAGAGAGAGCACAAGTAGGGGGAGTGGCAGAGAGAGAGGGAGAAGCAGACTCCCCGCTGAGCAGGGAGCCCAATGTGGGGCTCAATCCCAGGACCCTGAGATCATGACCTGAGCTGAAGGCAGATGCTTAACCCACTGAGCCACCCAGGTGCTCCTTCATTGTCTGACTTTCTATTTACAGTCAGGAGAAAGAAAAATTTTATTTTGAAAATACAGCTGCTATATTTAAATAACTCTGTAGTAATGACAATCTTTTCCTATACGCTACAAAACCTATCCTGAGTAAAAACTTCACTCTAAAGGATGTGAACTGAAGTTCTTTTATTTTTATTTTTTCTCCCACGCTTAGAGTTTACAGTGAAAATGTTTTGATTTAAGAGCTATAATGAATCACAACCTGGCATGAGAAGTGTTTTAATTTCAGATACTGCTAAATGTTATCTCCTTAATTAAGGTAATGTGGTTGTTGCAGTATTTAGACTTTCATATCTTGGACGGAGTCTTAAGGGTAAATGAGCTAATTAAAGGTAACATCTCCCTACCACATACCCTTCTAATGAAGGAAAGGAAGCTGACACACTCTAGAACTGAGACCCTTATAAGATAGAGATGCTGCTGTGCCCAAATCGCCTGTTCAGATGATGCGCTCAGTTTGACCCCTTCACAACGCTCCCTGAAGAATAAACTTCAAGATCCTAAATTAAGGCCCAGCAAGCCAAGCCCCTTACTTGGGTCCTGAACTCACATCCTTAGCCAGCCCCACCTAAAGAAGAGTATCTTCTATCTTGGGATGAGGTGTGAGAGCTCAAGGGGAGGGGCAGGTGAAATGACATTTTATTTTTGCTTTTCCTTTTTCACCTTACATTAAAGGCTTTGATTTAGAATGCTTCATTTGCCTCTGATGGAATTATTATGAGTCCCAATTTCACACTCTGGATACACTCAGGAATTTCTAACACTGATAGTTACAGTCCTATCAGAAGAACAAAAGCTGTGCCACGCTGAGTGACTTGAAAGGGGCTGGCTGCCTATGCTCTCAGAGTGCAGACAACTGCCTACTATTTCAATGTGGTAAGACTGTCTTAAGGACTTGGGAAAGAATAGGGAACAATGAATTTAAATTTCAACCAAGTGGGGCAGGTTAACATGCTGAGAAATTTTGGTTGGTAAAAGAAGGGTCTGTGAAATATTAAAAAAGGAGAAGTACTACACTTCCTTAATCCAATGAAAGTAGGCTAAATAACCACCATGTAATTCAACTAATACTAAAGTTCACAGTTTCATTTCTTGCTTTGTGGTGAAAGGCCAAAAAGTTCCAGTCATCTAAAGTTACTTGTGATTAATCATAAATCACACAATAAAATGATAGGTGATTTTTATTTTTATATACTTTGGGGACTTTCTGAAATGTTGACAATACCTATATGTTGTGTTTGTAGTCAGATTACCTTTTTTTTTTTTTTTTAATGAAGTACTCTGGGAAAATGTTTTTAAACTATTTAGGAGGGGGGAATGAGAAAAAAAATTATAAAAAGCTTTTGGAGGCGCCTGGGTGGCTCAGTTGGTTGAGGCTGAGTGTCTGCCTTCAGCTCAGGTCATGATCTCAGGGTCCTGAGATCAAGCCCTGCATTGGGGGTCGGGCTCCCTACTCAGTGGGGAGCGTGCTTCTCCCTCTCCCTCTGCTGCTCCGCCTGCTTGTGCTCTTTCTGGTGCGCACTCTCTCTCAAATAAATAAATAAAATCTTAAAAAAAAAAAAAAGCTTTGTGAAATTTCATTAGAAAAAGAATTAGAGTTCAAGTCTGCTGGTTCTTATGATGACTTCTAATCGCCTTATATTGCTTCAATGTATGAACATATGCGTATATATTTTTGCTACCAAATTCCCTATTTCTTAAATTAAGAGAGCAAGGAAGTTAATTTGGCTATAATTTTCTTTTATACAGTATCCAGGGAAAAGCGAATACTGTTTCCCTTCAAATGTGACTGAATGTGCTACACTCATTGAGATATTCAAGGACATCATGTTTATATATAAAGTCTCAAGTTCTCTTCCAGGTTAAAAGGGAGAAAAATTCCAAAGTCTTCTGCTTAAGAATCTGAAGAAGAAAAAGCAAGTGATGACAATGAACTTGTGAGGCACATAATCTGTCCAAAGAACAGTGTATCTGATTAAGAAGAAAAGGTTATAAAAAATTAGAACAAGCAAAATATTCAGAGTCATAATGCACTCGAAGCCTCTCACAATGAACTAGATAAGGGTCTGTGAAAGCATTTAAAGTGACCTCACACATTTAGATACTAAATTATTAGTATCTAGCTATTTTATTTATTGCAGTGGAAAACATTTTATATGACATTTAATTTCTCCTTACTGTATTTTCTTTAAAAAAAAAACAAAACCAGTATTTCTAAACAGCCAATTCGGGGTGCCTGGGTGGCTCAGTCAGTTAAGCATCTGCCTTTGGCTCAGGTGATGATCCCGGGGTCCTGGGATCGAGCCCCCGCATCTGGCTCCCTGCTCGGCGGGAAGCCTGCTTCTCCCTCTCCCACTCCCCCTGCTTGTGTTCCCTCCCTGTATCTCTCTCAAATAAATAAATAAAACCTTTAAAAAAATAAAAATAGAACAGTCAATTCCCGTCAAAATGTATAGAACTATGTGAATTTTACCATGACTTGGTGAGAAAACATCATCCACAGAATTCAGACACAACACTGGAATTCCTACTGATTTCAGTCTACGATTCGGGCTGGCATCAGTATAATAATCATCAATAGTTTGGTATCCAAACATGACTGAAGTGAATCGCTTATCAAACTCTCTGATGGATTTAGCCTGAAACATAAAAACAGATGATCTCTCTTCTTGGAATCTGAAGAGGAAATCAAAATATTACATAAAGTTTCTCTCCTACCTTCATGACATGGTCCATGTCGATTTGTTTCACAAACATATGCCGGTGTCTGCAGCAAAAATAATTTCAAAGGTAAAAAATTAAGGTTATTGCTCTCTCCATCATACCTAAAGTACATAATAAATAACCGAACAGTCTAACACAGGGCACAAAGTGGATACTCAATGAATATTTACTTAATCAGACTCAGCAGAAGTACACTGACATTTATCCTGAAGACATTTTTGAAAAGTACTTTTATTTTTTAGAGAAAGAGTGGGGTGGAGGGGCAGAGGGAGAGAGAATCTTAAGCAGGCTCCATACCCAGCATGGAGCTTGACATGGGGCTCGATCTCACATTCCTGAGATCCTGACCTGAGCCAAAATCAAGAGTTGGACGTTTAACTGACTGAGCCACCCAGGCGCTCCAAGAGTACTTTTTTCTTAATTGAAGGACACTGAACTAATTTTGTAATAATAAACATAAGTATTGTTTCATAACAACACGTACCTAAATACTGCTACTATTAAACCAATTTGGCTAAAAAGGCCTCATGTAAACCAGAAGCTTTCAACTGGATAAACCACTTGAAGACATTATTTTTAAATTGCTATGTTGAAAATTAAAATTTACATTTTATATACTTATATTTTAAATGGTGGTCATTTTTCTTTCTTTCTTTTAAAATATTTTATTTCTTTATTTTTAAGTAAGCTCTACATCCAACATGGGGCTTGAACTCACAACCCTGAGATCAGGAGTCACATGCTCTACTGACTGAGCTGGTCAGGTGCCCCTAAATGGTGGTCATTTTTCTTATATAACCAGTACTTTTTTTTTTTTAAGATTTTATTTATTTATTTGACACAGAGAGATAGCCAGAGCAGGAACACAAGCAAGGGGAGTGGGAGAGGGAGAAGCAGGCTTCCTGCTGAGCAGGGAGCCCGATGTGGGGCTCGATCCCAGGACCCTGGGATCGTGACCTGAGCCGAAGGCAGCCGCTTAACCGACTGAGCCACCCAGGCGCCCCTAACCAGTGCTTTAATTCCCAAATCATTTTCTTTACTGTTCTTGCTACTGGCCCCCATTTCAGTGACAATGAGTAATTAGTGATCTTTTTATTTTTATTTTTATTTTATTTATTTATTTATTTGAGACAGAGGGAGAGCACAGAGGGAGAGTGAGAGGGAGAAGCAGACTCCCCGCCAAGCAGAGAGCCTCATGTGGGACTCGATCCCAGGACCCCAAGATGATCTGAGCCAAAGGGAGACGCTTAACCAACTGAGCCACCCAGGCGTCCCAATTACTGATCTTTTTAGTATTTTAAGCAATATTTTATAATCAACATCTGTAATTTAATAAATAGGCTAAGTTTAATCCAATGTTTAATGTCAGCTTTCAGGGTATCTATGGTTTTCGATAAGTCCTGTACAAATTAACTAGAATTTTTATTTAGCATTTGTATTACATTGATCAATTCACCTAAAAACGATGGTAATAGTCATCAAAATAGAAACAGAAACACCTCTGTTCTTTGGTATCACACCAACTTAAATGGTAGAAGACATACAAACAATTCCAGAAAAACTAATGCAAACATAGCATTCTGGTAACGTTAAGAACTCTGGGGGCTGAGAATATCCAAGTGAAGTGCATTCTCCTAAGCTTCTAAAACATACTATGCTTGTAAGCATATGCTTAAGAAACTATATTATTCTGCACTAAAAACACTTAATACATTGCTTACAACCTAGGAAAGAATTAGGTACTAATAGATTACCAACAGGTAGAAAATCCGGGGAAATAGCCCTCATGTTATTCAACACAGTCAATGCTAACATTTTTAGTCTTTTGGAATAATTTAGAACAGTGACAGAACAGTGATCTTCAAAGTGGGGGCACATATCCTAGGGGTTGTACCACTGAGATACAGAAAGAAAACATTACAACTTGTATTACATTTTTAGCTTATACTTAAAATATTTTACTTTTGTATATACTTATAACAAAGAATATTTGGGTACAGTAGCAAATGCATATAACGTAAACATAAATATACAAATATTAGCAGTATTGTACTTTACAACTTTTTTTCTGTTGGGGAATGTAATCCAAAAGTTTGGAGACATCAGGCTTTAAAGATGACTCACTTATTAACGGAAGACTGGAGGCAAGTTGTCAAGTAGTAATTAAAAAGCAGCCAGTTGAGTGGTTTCTCCAATGACTCAGAGCAAGCAAAAGTATTCCAACCAACTGAAAAAGTTGCAGCTGCCTTCAAAGGAGTTTTTGGCCCAGTTTTGCCCAGGTAATTCAAAAGCAGCATTCTAAAATGGGGAGCAACAGGAAACTTAGTGATGAATTTGTTATCTCAAGACATCTCTTTTCTTTTAAGATTTTATTTTTTTATTTGAGATAGAGAGAGCAGGAGCAGAGGGGCAGAGGGAAAGGGAGAAACAGGATCCCCACTGAGCAGGGAGCCTGATGTGGGACTCAATCCCAGGACCCTGAGATCATGACCTGAGCCAAAGGCAGACGCTTAACCTACTGAGCCACCCCGGTGCCCCAAGACATCTCATTTCTAACTACGGATTTTACATTAACTATGGAGAAGAAAAACATAAACCCATGTTTAAGGCCTTCATCTTGGAAAAGCATGCAAGTATTTTCATTCTTTCTTTACATTCATATAATTATTTATCTTGCAGTAGACTATATTGTGAATGGGACAAGGCATACAGTTATTACTTACATGTATATCCTTCTATGAAGAGAAATATAAGAGAAATCCCCTGTAAAAGTGGGGTTTTTCCCCTCCCTCCCTTCCTTGCCTTGCTTTTCTTTCCTTTCCTTTCCTTTTCTTTCATTTTTAAAAATGATATTGGGGGTGGGGCGCCTGGGTGGCTCAGTCATTAAGCGTCTGCCTTCGGCTCAGGTCATGATCCCAGGGTCCTGGGATCGAGCCCTGCATCGGGCTCCCTGCTTGGTGGGAAGCCTGCTTCTCCCTCTCC